CGCAGTCTCTTCTCCTAAATCCTTTTGAATTCTCCTATCCACTATTCCTTAACCCCATGACGTTTCACTCAGAGGAGAGGAATAGACGATAGGGTTAGAATTTAGGAGCTGATTTTTGGACTATTCGACCGCAACCGTAGTATATACACGTTCTCCTGACGAGACCTCAAATCATCTTCGTAATATCTATCAAACTATAGATCCTACACATCCACTGGACGTACAAAAAGTACAATATACACCTCTCGCTAGAAGTCTAATCAAAAAGCATTTTAATGGCCAAACTATCCTACAATTTAGGATTTTCCAGAGAGGGTTAATCGTAATAAGCTGCTGAACAATCGACCTATTTGGTGGTTTTTTGGAGGAGGACAGGCTGATCAATAAACTTTGGGGTCTCAACATGTCCGGGCTCACACTGATGACAAGTAGAATATTTACAATGAATAAATAAGGAGGTGGTGAAAACAGTGTGAGAATGTGCTCTGGTTCTGACCCTAAAACCCTCTTCTGTCCCCTGCTGTGATGAAGCTTCTCTTCCTCTGGACCTGAACCACACACTGGAGACATCAAGATCTGCACACGTCTTTATTGTTTAAGTTCCAGTTGTTCCCACTAGATGGCGCTCAGGAGCAGTGGTTTCACCCATGGATGTATTTCACCTCCTGCTGGTGGGACTGTTTACAGGAAATCACGTGACTGCTGGGAACAGTTCCGAACTCAACCAGCAGGGGAGCTGTTGCTCAGACTCAGACTGTGAACTGCGCAGCAGGAAATAAATAGTGCTCTGTCACTCTCAGGGGAAATGAGGGGAGTCACAGAGACAGCGGGGGTTTACCTGAAGAGAGAACAGCATCAACATCTACCTGATCAATACAAATACCTGATCAATACATCTACCTGATCAATACAAATACCTGATCAATACAAATACCTGATCAATACATCTACCTGATCAATACAAATACCTGATCAATACAAATACCTGATCAATACAAATACCTGATCAATACAAATACCTTCAAGTTTTATACAACCACAGTTCAATCAAGATAAGAGCTTTATTGATCCTGGAGGGAAGCAGCAACAAACAGAGAGGGGAGAAGTACTCAGACCATGTACTTAGTAAAAGTAGAAGTACTCAGATCATGTACTTAGTAAAAGTAGAAGTACTCAGATCATGTACTTAGTAAAAGTAGAAGTACTCAGATCATGTACTTAGTAAAAGTAGAAGTACTGAACTGTAGTGGGTTGTAAGTGAAGAAGGTCAAATATACTGTATATGCATGTATTTGTGCACATGATTAATGGCACTTTTTAATTATTTTTAATAGTTGTTACAGCATGTTTCCTGTCTGTTTGAACTCATTGTTCAACTAAATGAGTCGAGGAAGCGAGGCTGCAAAGCAAAGGAGACGAGGTGAGGAAACGACGCTGCAAAGGAGACGAGGTGAGGAAGCGATGCTGCAAAGCAAAGGAGACCAGGTGAGGAAGCGAGGCTGCAAAGCAAAGGAGACCAGGTGAGGAAGCGAGGCTGCAAAGCAAAGGAGACGAGGTGAGGAAGCGAGGCCGCAAAGCAAAGGAGTCGAGGTGAGGAAGCGAGGCTGCAAAGCAAAGGAGACCAGGTGAGGAAGCGAGGCTGCAAAGCAAAGGAGACGAGGTGAGGAAGCGACGCTGCAAAGCAAAGGAGACGAGGTGAGGAAGTGATGCTGCAAAGCAAAGGAGACGAGGTGAGGAAGCGAGGCTGCAAAGCAAAGGAGACGAGGTGAGGAAGCGACGCTGCAAAGCAAAGGAGACGAGGTGAGGAAGCGACGCTGCAAAGCAAAGGAGACGAGGTGAGGAAGTGACGCTGCAAAGCAAAGGAGACGAGGTGAGGAAGCGAGGCTGCAAAGCAAAGGAGACGAGGTGAGGAAGCGAGGCTGCAAAGCAAAGGAGACGAGGTGAGGAAGCGAGGCTGCAAAGCAAAGGAGTGGTCTGTGTTCCTGCTGCCTCAGAGTCTCAGGTTTCAGGGAAGCTCATCTCAAAGCCTCTTGTACCCTCCTGTAATGAGTCTGTCTGCACGTGTTGCTGTGTTTCAGAGACAGTAAATACAACATGAGATATCTGGAGCAGAACAGCCCGGCTGAGTCACCAGACAGAAAGGGAAGGAGAGCAGGGACTTTCCAGCTGCTGGAGAACGGGTTAGGCAAAAGCTGCTTGGCACAGAGAAACATGCAATGACCCAAAAGAAACACAATCAGTTTATAACCAGGTGAGGAGCGACAGGTTCCTCAGTCAGGATGCTGAGAGAGAGCTGTCTCTGAGTCACATGGAGAAACACACTTTCTAACAACGTACACGAGCACTTTGGTTTGTTCTGAAAGGATTTGATTGCTTCTTTATAAGATATAAATCACACCGTACATTTATATTTATATTCAATCTAATATTTAATATTCCATTCCTCTCATACTTATGTATATATCATATCCTGCTTTATATTTTGTTACTGGACATTTGTAATTCAACATATATATATATTTTTTTAAATGCTATTTTATTTCTATTAAGATGTTTACATTTTGGATTGATTATTTCTAGTCTTATAATTTGTATTGTACAATGACATGTCTTTTTATTCTGCTGCAACGCAAACATTTCCCAACTTGGGATCAATAAAGTACTTCTTATCTTATTTTAGTGTATCTCCTCTGATCTTTCAGTCATATCCTAAACACTCTCTACAGATCAATCTCTACAGATCACTCTTTACAGATCACTCTTCACAGATCACTCTTCACAGATCACTCTTCACAGATCACTTTTCACAGATCACTCTCTACAGATCACTCTTTATATTCCTCTCTGAAACCTCCAGTCTCCATTTTGTGGATTCACACACCTGTTGACAACATGGCGATGGATTTGGTCGATGTGTCACCTGATGATGACATCATGGTTTTGATGTTTCCGGTTGCTGGTGAAATGTGAGCCCGGAGACGCAGGATGTGCCAAACCTCATTTCCTGCTTTCTGTTATCTCAGAAATAAAACCATATTTATGAGCAATATATTTAATAGACGTGAACTTTGATCTGCTTGATTTTCATTACATTAAATTGGATTTAGCTGACGCTTTTCTCCAAAGCGACTTACAATAAGTGCATTCGACCAAGAAGATACAAACTTGAAGAAAACAGAATCATATAAGTACATCAGGTTTCATAGAGCCAAAACATTTCAAGTGCTACTCAACTGGCTTTAGATAAGCCAGTCCTTAGTTAGTATATAAGTGCTTTGTTAGTAATTTTATCGCTCGAAGTGGAGTCGAAAGAGATGAGTTTTCAGTCTGCTCTGGAAGATGTGTAAGCTTTCTGCTGTCCTGATGTCAATGGGGAGCTCATTCCACCATTTTGGAGCCAGGATAGCAAACCCACGTGTTTTTGCTGATGGGAACTTGGGTCCCCCTCGCAGTGCGGGTGCAGCGAGCCGTCTGGCCGATGCAGAGCGGAGTGCACGTGCTGGGGTGTACAGTTTAACCATGTCCTGGATGTAGGAAGGGCCAGATCCATTCACAGCATGGTACGCTAGTACCAGTGTCTTGAAGTGGATTCTAGCAGTTACTGGAAGCCAGTGAAGTGAGCGGAGGAGCGGTGTGCTGTGGGAACATTGAGGAAGGTTGAAGACCAGACGAGCCGCTGCATTCTGGATGAGCTGCAGAGGTCGGATGGCACATGCAGGTAGACCAGCCAGGAGGGAGTTGCAGTAGTCTAGGCGTGAGATGGTCTTTGAGGTATGAGGTGAGGAGGGAAAGTGCAGAGCCTGAACTCCAAGTTCTTGGAGAGTGCGAAGGAGGATCTGATGGTTCACCGTGTCGAATGCAGCAGACAGGTCCAAAAGGATGATGACAGAGGAGAGGGAGGCTGCTTTAGCCGAGTGCAGTTCCTCAGAGACAGCAAGGAGAGCAGTTTCTGTTGAGTGACCTGCCTTGAAACCAGACTGGTGCGGATCCAGAAGGTTGTTCTGATGGAGATAACAGGAGAGTTGTTTAAAGACAGCGCGGTCAAGTGTTTTAGACAGGAACGGGAGGAGAGAAACAGGCCTGTAGTTTATAACATCAGACGGGTTGAGAGTGGGTTTCTTTAGGAGAGGGTTTACTCTTGCCTCCTTGAGACTGTTTGGAAAGTCACCAGAAGTTAGAGAAGTGTTGATGAAATGGGTGAGAAACGGTAGAATATCAGGAGCGATAGTCTGCAGGAGGTTTGAGGGGATAGGGTCCAGAGGACAGGTGGTAGGACGGGCAGAGGTCATGAGGGTAAGAACCTCACTTGGAGAGAGAGGGGAAAAGGAGGTTAGTGAGTGGGTGAAAGGTGGGTCAGGTGACCCAGCGGTGAGTAAAGGTGGGTCAGAAAAAGAAGAGCGAATATCATCAACCTTTTTTTCAAAGTAGTTAACAAAGTCGCTTGACAGAAGGGAGGAGGGGGAAGGGGCTTTGGGGGGTTCTAAGAGAGTGGAAAAGAGGGAAAATAGTTTTTTCGGATTGGAATAGGAAGATTGGATCTTATCTTGAAAGAAAGTGCTTTTTGCCTGAGAGATGGAAGCAGAGAAAGAGGAGAGGAGAGCCTGATAGGTTAGGAGGTCGTCATGGTGTTTGGATTTCCACCATTTGCGCTCAGCTGCCCGAAGGATGGTTCTATTAGCACGCAGTGGGTCAGGTGAGTTGGAGAGGAGATGCTTTCAGGGTTTGTCGATTGTGTTTGTACCTGCAGATGGAATTTAATTATTGGATAAAATCTGTATATAAATATAATAATACTTATTTAATAATAATTAATAGTATAATACTTTTAATACTTTTACATTTTTACATAATAATAAAAATGTAGAATTAATCATTACAAATAATCGATAGGATAATAATAATACATATTTAATAATATAAATACAATTATAATAGTAATAATAATAATAAATAATATATAATAATACATATTCAATTATAATATTGGTTATTTCTCTTAATCTAAATAGAACTACTTTTATAATATTGTAGCTTTGTTTAATCAATAAGTTGGTAATTAAATATTAATATTTGAGTTTCCAGGCAGAACTCAGTCTGAGATATTCTGGTGATCAATATGAAAAGAGGAGGTCAATAAAGGTGATCAATATGAAAAGGTAAATAAAGGTGATCAATATGAAAAGGTAAATAAAGGTGATCAATATGAAAAGGTAAATAAAGGTGATCAATATGAAAAGGTAAATAAAGGTGATCAATATGAAAAGGTAAATAAAGGTGATCAATATGGAAAGGTAACTAAAGGTGATCAATATGGAAAGGTAAATAAAGGTGATCAATATGGAAAGGTAACTAAAGGTGATCAATATGGAAAGGTAAATAAAGGTGATCAATATGGAAAGGTAAATAAAGGAAGTATTGACAGGTTTCTAAATGTGATTGAGTTTGTAAGTGAAAGTGTCTCTGATGGAAATGACTTCAGATCAAAACCCAAAGGTAATGTTTGAGCCTCACTAAATGTTCCTAACAACACAGAACTGTATTATTCCCAGTCGTCATGGTAACGTCATCAGTTGCCGGGCAGATTTCACCTGAACAGGTTTCTGAAGCAGGAGCTCTGAGAACAGCTGAGTGCAGCGACACACACTGATAACACACACATTACAGAGATCAATACATCACTCAGAGTTACTTTATTTTGTTAAATGTTCCTCCATTAGAGAACATTTTCATTTGTTTCTTTTTAGAAAGCAGTAAACCATTAGATCTTTAGTTTCATATCAAATCCACTTTCCTCTAGTGTCTGAGACGCTAGTAGAAACCAATACATGTGTTGATGGAAAGACGAGAAGACGGACATTTGGGAGATGGGTTTTTATTGGAAAGTGAAACACGGACAGGAAAGGGTTAACAATGCAGAGCGACTTCATGTCACGTTCACCTCTGAACCCCAAACTAAAGAGAACGTCACAGTCCGCTGGCTATGTACACAAAACCTCCCTGTCCCTAAATCATAGCAACATTATCAAAATCACACACTATTATGTTTTAAAACCAATTCAAGAGACATGTTATAAATAAAGACACTTCTGATTCATTTAGAAAAGCTCAGAAAGGGAAATCAATATCACTCGCTGCTACCTGTGTGTGTGTGTGTGTGTGTGTGTGTGTGTGTGTCTGTGTGTGTGTGTGTGTGTCTGTGTGTGTGTGTCTGTGTGTGTGTGTGTGTGTGTGTGTGTGTGTCTGTGTGTGTGTGTGTGTGTGTGTGTGTGTCTGTGTGTGTGTGTGTGTGTCTGTGTGTGTGTGTGTGTAAATACATAATCAGAGGGAAAGCCACCTTTTTATGTGAAACCCAAATTATCCAAATAACATATTCCTGTTGTCCAATCAATGAGCGTCTACTACCTGATTTCCAAACCCTAATATGATCAGTTATTGATCAGTTATTGATCAGATGATCAGTTATTGATCAGATGATGAATAATGAACAGTTTACGGGGAGAATGTGGTGGCAGCGCCCCCTGATGCATAACCCTAAAGACACAGAACAGAACCTGAGTCACTTCTCTGATCTGCTTCTGATCTACAGGTCAATGTTTCTAATCGGTGTTACACTATTTTATTGAACTGATGTCATTGATTTTCTAATATTTGTGTTTCTGAAAGCATCGTGCCTTTCTGAGGTCACTCTGCAGAAGGGTTTGAACTCTAAAGCTGCAGCTGGAGAGGTTTGAGAGCAGAGAAAGAGCTCTGATGCAACAGGTGGAGAGTTGATGTGAAGCCCCTCACTCTGATGGCTGGTTCAGTCTCTCAGTGAGCTCAGCGCTGGAGGCAGGAGAGGGATGGTTTTTATTGGCTGAAAGGAAAAGCAGAGAAAGTGTTTCAATCCACCGCCCCGTACACAACAAGGAACTAGACCACACTGATTATCCCTGTAGAAAACACACCAAGTGCTTTCCATATCCACATTACACTGAGCTCTGAGTTTGATCTGCTACCTCAAAGCCTTACATTAACAACCCTGAGAACTCATGAGACAAGGTTTCTGATTGGTCTCTCACCGTTCCTCTTCCTGTAAACCAGGAATCCAATCCCAGCGATGAGGAGAGCGAGAGCAGCCACTACAGCACCGATGATGAAGAGGAGGAGGAGGGGATTCCCTGTGGAGCAGAAACAACAGGAAGTCTCAATCTGAACGGAGGAAGGAAGCTTCTTCAGGATGGGCATCAGGTCTGAGGCTCCTGAAGGGCCCCTTTCTCCTCGTGGTGTCATGCTGGGTTTCGTCTTGAACCATTCTTAGTCTCTCTCCCCTGAGACCCATGTTTCAGGAGAGAGAGACTATGACATGTTGTCAGGGTCTGTTGATTGTTAGTAACCGTTGAGCCGTTGTGATGCAGTCTTACCTCTGTTGGTCCTGATCACAGCTGAGTCCAGTACGATGACGTGGTCCTCCTTCACCCCAGAGAGCTGGAACACACATCGGTACTTGTCCCAGTGTTCAGCGGGGAATGAGGAGACGTCCAGGTCCACGCTCATCTGGAAGGATCCGTCGTGGTTGGGCAGGATCTCTCCGTGGTCCACGTTGTCGTGAAGCTCCTCTCCGTCTCTGGTCCAGAACATGAGGGCTCTGTCCGGGTAGAAACCTGTAGCGTGGCAGCTGACTGGAGAGGAGGGGGACTTCTGGAGCAGAGACACTGAGGGGATCTCTGCACAAACACACTTTAGAGGTTATTGACTCACAGTGATATCACTACAGGGAGTTATGATGTACTGTGAGCATCACTGAAGGAGAACACAGAGTCAGTGTTTCAGAGAAATTGGTTAAATAAAGACTTTCTTCTCAGTTTTATATAATTTAATATCAAATACTGTTTAGTGTTGTTCAGATTAAAGAAGCACGTTGAATATTTCCTCTTAGACTTTGGAAATTAAGATTTTTTTCTATTTCTTGACATTTAAATGTGTAAAGAATTCATTTATTTATCTGAAAAATAGTCATTACTTAATCTATACTGACAAGAATATTAAGTTTGATTTATCTCCACTGCACTGTGTAGTGCTATAGTACCATTCACTGATTAGTTGATCAAAAGAAAGTTAATTACAACACATCTGATTATAAAATAACAGTTTAAGTTCCTTATTAAAGAAATATGCCAAACATTTTGTAGTTCCAGTTTTTTTAAATGAGTATTTCGGTTTTAAATCCTAAATGGTGTTTTCTGTCTCCATATCCCATAATAATAACTTTTCTTTAACAAAATGCAATTGCAAAATGTTACATTGAAAGACAGAAAACTGGTAAAAAGAAAAAAAACACAGTGAGACACAGAGTGAGACAGAGTGAGACAGAGAGTGAGACGCATAGTGAGACACAGTGTGAGACTCAGAGTGAGACACAGAGTGAGACAGAGTGAGACAGAGAGTGAGACAGAGTGAGACAGAGAGTGAGACAGAGAGTGAGACACAGTGTGAGACTCAGAGTGAGACACAGAGTGAGACGCAGAGTGAGACACAGAGTGAGACACAGTGAGACAGAGAGTGAGACAGAGAGTGAGACACAGTGTGAGACTCAGAGTGATACAGAGAGTGAGACAGAGAGTGAGACAGAGAGTGAGAGACAGAGAGTGAGACAGAGAGTGGTACAGAGAGTGAGACAGAGAGTGAGACACAGAGTGAGACAGAGAGTGAGACACAGAGTGAGACATGTGTTGTAATGTCAGAAACACAGGAGACATGAACATGGAGGTGTTTATGAAACTCCATCAGGTCATGTGACTCTACCTGTTCTCATCAGGAAGCTCCTCCCAAGGTTCACATAGTTCTTCAGATACTCAGGACAGATCTTGGTGAGGTAGTTCTTGTCCTGGGCCATAATAGCTTTGTTCTTCTCCCACTTCTGTTTGGTGAGGACAGCCTGTGGTTTTGGAGCGATCCATGACTCTGTCTCCAGGTCCAGTATTATGAAGTCTTCTCCATCAAAACCATAGTTATCATAACCTTTGACCTCACCAGTCTCATCATCCCAATCACAGCCGTACATATTCTGGACAATGTGGACACCTGAGAGAGAGAGAGAGAGAGAGAGAGAGAGAGAGAGAGAGAGAGAGAGAGAGAGAGAGAGAGAGAGAGAGAGAGAGAGAGAGAGAGAGAGAGAGAGAGAGAGAGAGAGAGAGAGAGAGAGAGAGATGAATGAATGAATGAATGAATGAATGAATGAATGAATGAATGAATGAATGAATGAATGAATGAATGAATGAATTCTCAGCGTTAGTGGCTCCTGCTCCATCCTTTCAGAAAGCAGCAGGGATGTTGCTGTGTGTACAGGATGAAGATATAAACAACATATTATCAGTAGAAGGTGAAACATGAACTAACCTCCAGTTTGGTTGAAGCGCTGCTTTACAGTTTCAATGTTGGCTTTGTAGACCTGCTGGTGACCCTGAAAGATCTGAGTCTCCCTCTCCCAGTACTGAGGAACCTCTTCTGTGATGTTGTTCATCCAGTCCTGTTTGGGTTCTGCTCTCTTGGTGTTGCTGTCGTAATGCATCATCTCAACTTCATCAACCAACCCAACAATCACAAACTCTGGGAAGTTTGGGACTCCAGAGGACGCAGTGTAGAAATACTTCAGAGAGTGAGTCCCTGAGAGAGAATAATAAAGTAATAACTTCAGTCTTTATAAATGAACTGTTCTCTTTCTGCACAAAATCACAGCCAAGACATCAAATCATCTCTTTGTGCATTATATTAAAACAGAAACAAAAGTAAAGACACATTTATGTTCCAGAAGAGTTTGAAATGATTATTATTATTAATAAATGTGTAAATCCTGCGTGAGAGGACCTGAATGTCGTTGATAGGAAACAGGCATCATTTCTTAATCAGAAGAGAAACTCCAGGTTAGTTTTTTAAGCATCATTTGAAGTTTACAGTCTTTATCAGATCATTTATTTCTTCTTCCTGAGGTTTGGAAAATACATTTTAATGATGTTATAAAACCATCAGGAATACCAAAGCTCTGATCCAGTCTCTCTCTGACACATCTCTTGATGTGAAATATTATATTCAAGTTCAACTCCCAATATTTAAGATAATCAAAGATTCAGCAAGTACCCACAAATCTAACTACCTGTTAAAACTTTAAATATTTGCTGGATCAAAGATATTTGATCAGCCGTTATTTATTTTGATCGGAGCGGGACGTTTCAGTTTGAAATAAAGTGTTTGTTCAAAGTGTCAGAGAAACCCTGAATCTCTCAGAGCGTGGCCTTTCTGCTCAGCCACCTGCACGAATACATATATCTGTGATACATGAATACATATATCTGTGATACATGAATACATATATCTGTGATACATGAATAAATATATCTGTAATACATGAATACATATATATGTGATACATGAATACATATATCTGTAATACATGAATACATATATCTGTGATACATGAATACATATATCTGTAATACATGAATAAATATATCTGTAATACATGAATACATATATCTGTGATACATGAATACATATATCTGTAATACATGAATACATATATATGTGATACATGAATACATATATCTGTAATACATGAATACATATATATGTGATACATGAATACATATATCTGTAATACATGAATAAATATATCTGTAATACATGAATACATATATCTGTGATACATGAATAAATATATCTGTAATACATGAATACATATATCTGTGATACATGAATACATATATATGTGATACATGAATACATATATCTGTAATACATGAATACATATATCTGTGATACATGAATACATATATCTGTAATACATGAATCAATATATCTGTAATACATGAATACATATATCTGTGATACATGAATAAATATATCTGTAATACATGAATACATATATCTGTGATACATGAATACATATATCTGTAATACATGAATAAATATATCTGTAATACATGAATACATATATCTGTGATACATGAATACATATATCTGTAATACATGAATAAATATATCTGTAATACATGAATAAATATATCTGTAATACATGAATACATATATCTGTAATACATGAATACATATATCTGTAATACATGAATACATATATCTGTGATACATGAATACATATATCTGTAATACATGAATACATATATCTGTAATACATGAATACATATATCTGTAATACATGAATACATATATCTGTAATACATGAATACATATATCTGTAAACATGAATACATATATCTGTAATACATGAATACATATATCTGTAATACATGAATACATATATCTGTAAACATGAATACATATATCTGTAATACATGAATACATATATCTGTAATACATGAATACATGTATCTGTAATACATGAATACATATATCTGTAATACATATATCTGTAATACATGAATACGTGTATCTGTAATACATGAATACATATATCCATGGGCGTAGGAAGCATCCTGAATGTGGGGGGGGACATTTTTAACGGGGGGTGTTGGGGCGAAAAAAAATATAGATTTCTTGTATTCTGGTGCATTTGAACAGGTGGTTTGATACTTTTATGTGGCTATACTAGCATGAGGAAAATGATGGGTACATTTTGTAATTTCATCCAGTAGTAAAGAAAGGAAACATAGTTGATTATTAATTCAGAGCCGTCTTTGAATTAATAAAAAGCAGTTTAAATGCCCATTTTTTTGTACATTTATATACAACAATAAATATTTGTGAGTGCATTGAGAGATATTGTTGTGGAGAGTCATTTATATATAAATCGCAAAATACATTTGTGAATCCTTCTGTGAGCATTTATTAATATTGAGACTGATCTGACTCCATACGGATGTTAAGTTCACCTAGGAATGGTATCATTGACTTAAATGTTCAAATAAATGTTGCTCTTCTGTCTATATTGGTCATATGATGCCCCTTGACTGAAATGTTTCCTGTTCAATATCCCCACTGATTTCCTTAAAATCCTGGGATGAGAGTCCACATCACAATTTACTCTCAACTGTCATTTCCCTTTCATCACTCACCTCAGCAATGGACCTCTCTCCACTGTCCCTGTATTCTGCCTCTGACTCACTCTCAAGTGCCTAGATGTCAAGAGAGGTGGTGAACTGATAATTATTTATTGAGCAGTATACTCTTTCACATTGAATCATAACAAGTCATACTGAATGTAAATACAACTGACTCTAAAGTAAGTCCCAGTCTGTGACATTGGACATTTTGAAGACTCAAAAGTCCCAAGCAGTAGGTAGAATATTAGCTAGTCTATGTAATGTGCACAGAAAATAAATAGTTAACTGAATACTGGGATGGAAATAGCCTATAAGCACTCAGTAAAACATAAACACACACAAAAAGCTTCTGAATGATAAGAAGTATAATTAAAACATAATGCACATTACCATTTTGAGAGAGAGTACCTAAATTAAAGAACTCAGAAAATAATCTCGTATCGAACTGAGGCTCCAGTAAAACACACTGACTGCGTCTCTACATGGACATCAGTAAGCCGTTTAAGAGTATTATCCCGGTTATGATGTGTTTACATGAGCAGAGAGATCGGGTTATTCATGTTCCCTGTTTACATGATAAATACTAGTAACCTCGCATTTCGATGCCTTTTCTTATCTAAACTATTCAGTATTTGTATTTCTCTATCATGACATAAAGACGAAACTCCTCTCCAGAAGTGAGACGCATTTGCCGCCACCACCGCCATCACTGTTAAGTTAACAGTGTTAACTGATTAACTGCTACCAGCTGATGACTTACTTTCCTCTTCTTTGCAAAAAATGTTCTTATGTCCATGTTGTCTGGGGGAGAAAACATATCAAACCAAGAGATAGTCAGCTTTGATTTTCGCTGTATTAACCATTTCCTGAACATTTGGTGTGTGTGCCTTACCTCCGCTACCGGCATCCTTCATACAACAGAATCTGAGCTGTCCAACTATGACATCACTCCTTGAACATGCGCGCGCTATGTGAGAATCTGCCTTGGTACAAAGTAGCAGTGAAAACATGGTACGGAGTTTCATTGATTTGGGCATTCTCTCAATAAGCAAGTGGAATGGATTTCATTTGATAGTGAAGCACTGCAGCGCTCTGCAAAGAGCGGCGAGTGGATAGACCGATTCACGGACTTTCCGCATAGTAAAAGTGGGGGGGTCCAAACTAATCATTTGAAAAAGTGGGGGGGACTTGTCCCACCCTCATATAATGGTTGCGACGCCCATGCATATATCTGTAATACATGAATACATATATCTGTAATACATGAATACATATATCTGTAATACATGAATACATATATCTGTAAACATGAATACATATATCTGTAAACATGAATACATATATCTGTAAACATGAATACATATATCTGTAATACATGAATACATATATCTGTAATACATGAATATATATATCTGTAATACATGAATACATATATCTGTAATACATGAATACATATATCTGTAAAACATGAATATATATATCTGTAATACATGAATACATATATCTGTGATACATGAATACATATATCTGTAATACATGAATACTATATCTGTAATACATGAATATCCAGAACTAACAGCAGCTCCTGATTGATGGATCTACTAAACAGCATCATATAGTTCTCTCAGTACATGTCAGTATCAGTGTGATGTTCTCTCAGTATGCTGTACTACAGTCAAGCAGACATGTAAACAACAACAACAGGAACTTGATATTGATGTTGACCTCGTTGAATTGTGATTTGCTTCCCAGAGATCTATCTCTCTCTTCTTCATGTGTAATGACAGGGAGCAGGTTCTATATGATTTCTTCTTCTGCTGTTTGCTCTTCAGTCAGAAACCAAACCCCTGGATACTCCGGGACTTTCTCACTTACGTCCACTTCTCTGCATTTAGAAAACAACTAGATTTGATATGGACAACTCATATGTATTAATATCATTTTAAATGTCAATAACGGTCTATAATATATATTCATATTTATTGTGTATTGAGTCTGTATTACACTGTGTGTATTTATACCTGATCTATAGAGTATTCATAATGTGTATACCTCCTTATACTGTTCATAGTGTAAATACTTCACTTTGTTTATATCCTCATATATATATATATATATTATACTACACATCACTCTGCACTTTACTACTTGTTCTGCACTTTTGGTTTGATGCTAACTGTATTTCGTTGTCTTAGTACATGTACTCTGTGCAATGACAACAAAGTTGAATCTAATATAAAACAATATAGCGTGCACAATAAGTTAAAGGGAAATAAAGATAATTTATAAATAACTATTTTACTATTTTTCTGTGTTATTGTGTTGCTCTGTTGGAGGAGCCTGTGACCTATGATTTTCATCATCATAACTACACTGTAGCTATGTACTATCACCAATAAAAGCCTTGAACCAAAGAAGGAAAACAACGCCATCTTGTGACTTTAAGAAATGAAAGGATAAAGCTCCACAGCAGAGAGGTGTGAGGGTGATGTGTTTCAAGACTGGAAGATCTCATCATCAAACCTGATCAATACTATATATTCAAAGGTGTTCTATCATTTCACAGACACCATTAACCAGTGGGAGCTTTGCTTACATATTACATGGTCCCCAGAGGAGGTAGAAGTACTCAGATCATGTACTTTAGTAAGAGTAGAAGTACTCAGATCATGTACTTTAGTAAGAGAAGAAGTACTCAGATCATGTACTTTAGTAAGAGTAGAAGTACTCAGATCATGTACTGTAGTAAGAGTAGAAGTACTCAGAGCATGTACTTTAGTAAGAGTAGAAGTACTCAGATCATGTACTTTAGTAAGAGTAGAAGTTACTCAGATCATGTACTTTAGTAAGAGTAGAAGTACTCAGATCATGTACTGTAGTAAGAGTAGAAGTACTCAGAGCATGTACTTTAGTAAGAGTAGAAGTACTCAGATCATGTACTTTAGTAAGAGTAGAAGTACTCAGATCATGTACTTAGTAAGAGTAGAAGTACTCAGATCATGTACTTTAGTAAGAGTAGAAGTACTCAGAGCATGTACTTGAGTAAAAGTAGAAGTACTCAGATCATGTACTTGAGTAAAAGTAGAAGTACTCAGATCTTGTACTTTAGTAAGAGTAGAAGTACTCAGATCATGTACTTTAGTAAGAGTAGAAGTACTCAGATCATGTACTTTAGTAAGAGTAGAAGTACCAGAGAGTAGGAATACTCTGTTTCACTAAAAGTCCTGCATTCAAAATGTCCCTCAAGTAAAAGTAGAAAAGTATTCTCATCAAAATATAGTGAAAGTAGCGACAGTAAAAGTAGTCATTGTGCAGATTGGTCCATTTCAGAATAATATATATGATATGTTTTATAATGATTGATCATAAAAGTGTTCTCAAAGCTGGTAAAGGTGCAGCTAGTTTGAATGACTTTGTATACTGCTGGGTAGCTTGTGGATTTACTCCAGGTGGAACTAAAGTCTGATTTAACACTTGATTATATTTCACATCGTTCATCCACATCTGTAAAGTAACTAAAGGTATTAAATACATGTAGTGGAGGAAAAGTACACCATTTACCACCATTTAAGACTATCACACTTTAAACTCACACAGCCCATAAACACATGAAGCACTTCTTATTTTCCAACGTAAAGAATCAAAAGACTCACGTGCAGATGTGCAGCGTGGGCCAACTATTCCCAGGAGAAGCAGAAACAGCAACATCTTCATCTTCATCTTGATCTCACGAGGCTTTCTGTGTGAAAGGTTCTTTATCCACAGAAACACAGCCGTCCTTTCTGCAGAGCGGGATGTCAATGAGAGAGACACACAGAAGGGAGGTAACACCAGCTCCGTCTGAGCCAATGAGAATTCAGTCTGAGCGTCGCGTCACTTGTTGCTCGGTGAATCTGCCTCACTCAGGTTGTGTATCGAAAGTGAAACTAAAGATCAGACACTCTGCAGTCTGGGGGGGGGGGCAGTAGGGTCTCACTGTTCTGTGTGCCATTGGCTTTAGAGTGAGTCATGTGAGAGTCTGTTATTTGACACAGACCTGTGTGCTATCAAAGCATCAGGTTCTTGGAGGAGATGTCCACTACCAAGTCCATATCCATTGAATGATGTTCTGTATGTGTACGTATGTGAAGGTGTTGTGGTTCAGTACAGCTCTCTGCACACATCAGGCCTTCTATCAGGACAAACTATATCATAAAACACAAGAGTTTCCATATCTGACCTCAGCGTTTGAAATGAAAGCAATAATGAATGAAAGCAAAGCAGAAAGAGAGTCAGAGAGCGTCTGAAACATCCGATCTGTGAACGCTGAGCAGTGCTTCTACCAGAGAAATGTAAGACCTGTGTTGATGTTTGAACACCTGACGCTGTTTTTCACTTTGTTTCAGCACTGTTTCTACTTCAACCCTCAACAGGAATGAGAGCTGTACTCTCTCTCTTCCTGAAAGCAGCAGCTAATGATTGACAGGTGGTTTCTCTGAGCCCTGTGTTACTGTGTGTCTCTTCCCCTAACTGTCTGTCCCCAGGTGAGCCTCTCTCAGGTGATCCCAATCCCTCGCCTTCATCAAAGGCTGAGGAGAGCTGCAGCAGCTTCATGTCCTCTTCCTCCTGCTCTGCATGGATGTGTGTGATCAGTGTGTTGTCTCTGTGGGACACTTGGCACTCGTTGGGACTCGTGTTTTTTAACCGTCCTGTCGTGTTCGGGTCAAATCTGACTGATTTACATCAATCATAATTAAATATTGTGTTTTACATGTGATGGCCTCCAGGCCTCATGATATCCTCCACAGTAGCATGTGAACATATCAAACTGCTGATCCACACTTTCATTGAGTTTTGAGAGCTTTAGTCAACTTTGTAAAACAAAGGAGATGAATGGAGAACCCTAGATGATGTTCCTCCATCAGATACACAACCACATCAACAACCATGTTATCTGTTAGTCTATTCTTTGTTTACTCACTGCAGGTATTCATGTGAACCAGTAGAGACTTTCTTTACTGCTTAAAAAGGAGTTACATTTGGTGATGATAATGTTTTTTTTAGCCTTTAGTACGTTTTTTTAAATTGGTTAGTGAGCCCTCTTTGCTTTTGAGCTTTAAAAGACATCTTTATGGTGATTAGTGAGCGATGTGTTCTGGGTTCAATAAACAGGGAGGAGGCAGAACTGGGGAGGGCGACACCTTGTGGTGAGAAGAGTTTAAATTATTTATTATTATTAGATGGATAAGTACAAGGTTGAGGTACTTGTACTTTACTTGAGTATTTCAATGTCATGCTACTGTGTACTTTGACTCCACTACATGTATTTATTACCTTTAGTTACTTCACAGATCTGGATGAATGATGTGAAATATAATCAAGTGTTAAATCAGACTTTAGTTCCACCTGGAGTAAATTCACAAGCTACCCTGCAGTATACAAAGTCATTCAAACTAGCTGCACCTTTACCAGCTTTGAGAACACTTTCATGATCAATCATTATAAAACATATCATATATATTATTCTGAAATGGACCAATCTGCACAATGACTACTTTTACTGTCGCTACTTTCACTATATTTTGATGATAATACTTTTATACTTTTACTTGAAGAACATTTTGAATGAAGGACTTTTACTGTAACAGAGTATTCCTACACTCTGGTACTTCTACTTTTACTCAAGTACACGATCTGAGTACTTCTACTTTTACTACAAGATCTGAGTACTTCTACTTTTACTACAAGATCTGAGTACTTTTACTCAAGTACAAGATCTGAGTACTTTTACTCAAGTACAAGACCTGAATACTTCTACTCAAGTAGAAGATCTGAGTACTTCTACTTTTACTCAAGTACAAGACCTGAGTACTTCTACTTTTACTCAAGTACAAGATCTGAGTACTTCTACTTTTACTCAAGTACAAGATCTGAGTACTTCTACTTTTACTCAAGTACAAGATCTGAGTAATTCTACTTTTACCCAACAAAGTATTTAACGAATAACCGTTTTATAAACGGCCGTTGGTCGGTTAGATAGCTGGGGACATTCAAAATTAGCCTAAATATAAAATCATAGAACAAATGAACTTATTGATCTCAGATATGAACAGGACTCACACAGAATCAAGTTGATATTATAAAAAACTAGATACTGTAGTGATCACTAATTAACGGGGTTACATAATTCAATCCAGGAACTACAGGTTGGGGGTATTGTTTCCGCACGGACATATATGTTGACGGTACCTCCGGGGTACCTACTGTGTGTGTGTCCCTTTCGCTTTCTCTTCTCTTCTCGGGCTGCGACCCGACAGCATGTGCATTTCTGCTGCTCATTAAAGTACAGATTTGCACCTTCGATGCACCGCCTCCGACTCCCTTCTCTCGGCACTACATTGGTGACCCTGACATAAGTCTCGCGAAGGTTCCGAGACTGGACCGAACACGGCAAAAAGCAGACTCTGTTTTTCTCGAAATGCCGGAGATTTTTGGAGACGTCCGTGGCTGCCACGTGCACACGGACTGTGGCTCGGTGCGCCCTCCGGAATGGCCGTGGACGACGCTCGCCATTTCCACGGCTTTTCGGCTCTGGGGGACAGCAAGCCTTCCATGGAGCCGATACACGACCGTGCCGGGTTTATTCGGGACATGCGGCTGCATGTCCGGCCAGCGACTGACGGCCGCCGAGAACGGCTAGCAGCTACCAACGGCTAACGACGGCTAGCCACGACAGCTAGCGGCTGTCGACATCCGACTGTTTTTTTTTGTTTTGTTTTTTGTGGTGCCTGAGAGGAGGTTCGATCAAGTCTGGTCGGCCTTGTGTGGATCCTCTCGCATTTTCGCCCACCTGTTTTTGTTCGTGGATGGGACGACCCTTTTGAGCTTTTTCTGGTGCCTGAGAGGAGGTTCGACCATGTCTGGTCGGCCTCGTGTGGACCCTCTCGCTTTTTCACCACCTCGACGGCGGCTTCGGACGTCGCCCGCGCCTTCTTCGGCCCGTGGGTGGTGCGCTCCCGGACCCTGCCTGGCCTCTCCTCTAACCGCGGCTCACGGTTCGCCTCGACGGCGGCTTCGGACGGCGCCCCGTCTGGCCTCTCTCCTGTCCACGGCTCCCTCCTCCCGGGGACACGGCTCCTTCCTCCCGAGGACTTAGTGCCCGTCGCCGCTGTGCCTTCGCCTGCGGCCGGGCAGCGCTCCTCCCTGCTGGGGACCGCCGGGATGTTCACGCCTGTCCCCACGTTGCAACACGGCGACCCTGCTTTCTGCGGCCCCCTGACGACGGCCCGTTCCGGCCCGCCCCCCACCCTCCGGTGGGGATGCCCTCGCCCTCGTTGGGGCCCCTACCCTCTTCTGCGGCCCGCCCCCCACCCTCCGGTGGGGATGCCCTCGTTGGGGCCCCTACCCTCTCCTGCGGCCCCCTTCCGACGGCCCGTTCCATGGCCCGGCCCTCGCCGGCGGCCCCGCCCTCCTCGGCCCCTGTGGTGCTTCCTCCCGGACGCGAGGATTGTGTCCATGGTTGAATTCTGGGGGGGCTTGTGTAGTGATCACTAATTAACGGGGTTACATAATTCAATCCAGGAACTACAGGTTGGGGGTATTGTTTCCGCACGGACATATATGTTGACGGTACCTCCGGGGTACCTACTGTGTGTGTGTCCCTTTCGCTTTCGCTTTCTCTTCTCTTCTCGGGCTGCGATCCGACAGCATGTGCATTTCTGCTGCTCATTAAAGTACAGATTTGCACCTTCGATGCACCGCCTCCGACTCCCTTCTCTCGGCACTACAATACAACAGTTATATTACGTTTTAATCTACTTTTATAACTTTGATGAACATTTTAAGACAGAGTTTTAACGGACTCATATCTCAGCGTAGAGCCGCACGCGCACAAACTGACATGAGTGACTGACCAACGGACAACAACGTAACACGTCACACGTTGACATGCAAACCGGAAGTAGATAAAACAGCAACATAAAAACTATTTTTATTTTAAATTAATCAGATTACATTTTTGGTTTAAATAAAGACTAATCCTTTTACATGGCTAACAAAAACACATTTAAGCTATTAGCTAATAATAATAATAATTAAATACCAATAATATATACATTATTCTGAAACGTAATAAAACCTTTACACTTATATTATCGGTAAAAATGTCATTCAACTTGTTAACCCTTCGATGCCCGAGTGACTGGACCATACACTTATGGAATACCATTTAAGCCTAAATTAAATAAATAAATAAATACATAAATAATTAAATAAATACATATATATATAAATATGCCTATGAAATACATTCTGAAATAAATAAATGTGTCATTATGAAATACAAGTCTCTTGAAATAAATAAATGTGTCATTATGAAATAAAAGTCTCTTGAAATAAATAAATGTATCATTAAATGTACATGTATACATATTTATTGCCTCATTTATTTATTTCAGAATTTATTTCATAGGCATATTTATATATATATGTATTTATTTAATTATTTATGTATGTATTTATTTATTTAATTTTGGCTTAAATGGCATTCCATAGTATGGAAGCTTGGGGTAGTAATACAAAAACTACAATTTCTTAAAATGTATACAATTTAGATTTAAAATGTGAATGGCATGATATCCAAAACATGTTTTTTGAGGAATAGCTGGAATATGAAATGATAAAAAAATGTAATTACAAAGATACTTCAAGAAAACCACCTCACCGGGTCAACAGATACCCACTTATGCATCTAAGGGTTAATGTTGTAAAAGTTTAATTTAGATTTTATATTTCTATATTTGCTCCTTTCTTTATAACCTATTTCCTTTATGTCCTTAATGACTT